ATTAAATTAATATTAAAGTAGTAGTACTATTAGGAGTTCTATAAAAATCAAATTAAATTAAATTGAAACTAAATTGTTTAAATTTAATTTTTTTATTTAAAAATTGAATTAAATTGAATTGAAACTTTATACTTAAATTTAATTTTTTAAATAAAAAAATCAAATCAAATCAAATTATTTAAATTTGATTCTAAATAAAATAATTTAGATTTTTAGAATTAATATACTTGCTTTTCAAATATAGCTTGATATATGACAAATAGAATTGATTATAAAAACAGTAGTATTAATTTATTAATATTCTGTTATATAAAGATATTGTAACTATTTTATACAGGTTGATCTCCAAGTTACAACTTAATTAATATTTTTAAAACAAGAATTAATATTATTTTTCTTATTAAAACTTTATTAATTTATAAATATTAATTATTTATTCAATATAAATATAATTATTTCAAATATAATTATAATTTAATATCAATACTACAGTATATGATTTATTTTTTTTAATTTATTAAAAAAATTAAAATAAACATATAAATTTTTTTATTATACCATATACTGTATAAGTTTTATTATTTGATAAAAATAATAAAATTTTTTTAAAAAAATAAATAATTAATTAAAAATATAGATTTTAATATATACAGTATATTTATTGGTTTAGTTTATAAAAGAAAACAAAACAAATAAAAACTAAATCATACAAATTATTTTTAGTATATAATTTATATTTAAAATCATTGCATGTATTCTCGTACTTGTAATGATTCTATTATTTAATAAATAAAACGACACCAGCCTAATTGCGGGTTTAAAAAAAAAAAAATTTATATTTAAAAACATTTTAAGTGCGATAGACGTATCTTATTACGTTAAAAAAAAATGCTAATTTATCAAATTGATAATCATTATTTATGATTCATCTACAGTGACACAACCACGTTATATATGAACATAAATAAGCAAACAATTAACTGAATTATTCCAGTTCTACTCAAATCCGTTTTTCTTTTTTGTAGACGACAATGCGATCTAACTTATATTATTTCATTTGCACATTTGCCTTCTTGCTTTTTTTTGGCAAACTTTTGTATAATGGTTATAGTAGCGTTAATCCAATAATATTTGATGTCGACAAACCCAAGATTCCAGTTGAATTATTTGTTATGAGTCGTTGTCCTGACGCTGTTATGTGTGAATCCGTGCTCAGTGACGTTTGTATGATCTTAACTTTTAGAACAATGAAATTTTTTGATTGTGGTTCCATCGAGTATCACAGTTCGTTCATTCTCGCTATATTTTTCTTTCTATAGTAAAGCAAGTGAACGAAATTTCAAATTTTACCACGAATTACATTGCAACGCTTGACGATTCCGCACCGTATGGAGCATATTGTAAACATGCAAATATCGAGTGTGTCGGTAATTAATCGAAGATTTTTATCGCACATTGCCCATTTTATTGTGATAAATAATAACATTTTTATTCATGCGACGCAAAATGCAAAA